ATATGTGCTGCTGTTAAAATACAAATTTTACAAAAGATGACATTTACAAGACAAGGTTTTGATGCTAAATTAGAACTTGACAATTCTGGTGATACAGCTATTACGAATATTAAAATGGATATTATTATAAGAGATGATGATAATAAACAAGATTTTATAAGACATTTTAGTATTGGTCAACCGAGTTTCACTGGTGCATTAACTGGTATAACAGGTACTGGTGTATTAGCAGATCGTTCTTCAGGAAGTGTCAATTGGTTGATTATACCCTATGCTACAGCTGCACCAACAACAGCGACATGGTATCGAGTAGGTGGAAATTTATCATATATATTAGATGGTGAATTATTACATATTCCATTGATACCTGATACGATATTTGTGCAACCGGATGCTCAACTTCATATTGCTTATTTTTTGGATAAGTATGTGATCGGTCCTGATCCTAAGCTGCCTCCTTCAGAACAGCAACCGTCACAACCATTCATTTTAAGTATGATTTTAAGTAATAGTGGTTATGGTTATGCACGTAATTTTCACATCTCTAGTAGTCAACCTACCATCGTTGAGAATGAGAAAGGACTTTTGATTGATTTTAAAATTACTTACATGACAATCAATAATATTTTAACATCACCTACACTTACAATGGATTTAGGTGATCTACATCCATTAACAACAACAATAATAACATGGCAAATGTTAGCATCTTTGAAAGGTCAATTTCGTTCATTTAATGCCACATATACTGAAAGTAATCCGAATGGTGATCCACGATTATCTTTATTGATGTCATTAACCAGTCATTCATTAATTCGACAAGTGTCACTTGATATATTTGAACGTCAACTCAATGATAATCGGCTTGACTATCTGGTTGATGATCTTCCTGATGCTGATTTCATTCCAGATACTGTTTACAGTAGTACAAATGCTACACTTTTTTATCCAGTCTATCATTTATTAAATATATCAAGTAGGCATCAATCTATTGATTCCAATACTCAAAAAATAATATTAACTGTTACATTATTCACATGGATACCATCATTATCATTTGTTTACGTACGTTTCAATAATCCATATCAAAATCATGAAATTATTTTTTCATCAATAAGTATGAATGATGGACGTGACATTACTATTAATACATGGTTAACAAATCACTCAGAAAATTTGTTAAATTTATTTGATCGATTACCAAATGAATATTTACGGCAAACACAACAAATCTATGAAATTACACTGAAGAAGAAGTCAGATTCAATAAATTCGTCGACAACATTAACTAGTACAACATCTTCATTTGATACTCAATCGATAGGAACATTTTCTTCAACAACTTTAAATGCAACTGAAACTTCAATAACCTTCCCCTCCTCCACTTCCTCCTCCTCCTCATCATCATTAACAACAACAATTGTTAATAGTAATCTTCTTACATCTTCTTCAACGTTAGTCGTCATCGATTCATATATACGATTCCAGCTGAATTTTATGTTTAATGCAACACACTGGACAATGGATCTCATTGCACAACAACTGCTGATTGACTTAGTCAATGCTTTGAACGTCAACAACCCGATTCAAATTAATGTATCTACTGTAGTCAGATTGGCAGAAAACTCCGATATTGCAATGATTGTATTTTTTTTCAATTCAACTAAATTTAGTCGAAGCTGTAATGAATTATTTGAAGATTTCAAGAAGCAGTTAACCAATGTTAATTCAAAACTAAAACAAGGTCTTATCACACGACATATACTATTATCATCTATACAAAATGTACAATTTATGATCTTTTGTTCAAATACGAATTCTTACGAAACAAAATGTAATGATGAAAATGAAGGAACCTCGAACTATTCTCGTAACATGATAATCATTATAACAGTTTCCATTGGTGTATCTGGACTAGTTATCATAGTTGTTGTGTTTATAACTTTTAAGCGAATGCGTTCAAAGCATCGACAAAGCAATCAATTTGAAGACATATCATTATCACCCATCCATAGACCAGAATCGACTGAATGTTAAGATTAGTTTTGAGAGTGTATGAGAGTGAGAGTGAGACTAGCTACCATAATGTGAATTTCACATCGATTAAGCCGATCATCAGATGGTTTTAAAAAAATCTGATGAATTTTCAACAGTAAATCCAAAAGATTCAAATTCAATAAACAGTTAATTCAGAATTTCAAAATAAATCTAAACTAATGTTGAATATCGGTTAGTAGATGGTAAGACTAGCTACCATAATCTAGATTTCACGTCGACTAAGACGATCGTCAGATGGCATAAGACACCCTTAAGATTTCCATGGATGATTATGCAAATGATTTTCTAGTTAGGATTCAGTTAATGCAGAATTTGCAAAAGAATTATAATTTTAGTTATAATTAATGTCGTTGGTTACAGTGAGTTGTTGTTGATTGAGATTGAAAATAGTTATACGGTTTACTTAAAGATATGTTGAGAGTTATGTGGGTGTGGGTGTGCGGGTGTGGGTATGGGTGGATGTGGATGTGGTTTAGGAGGAGACCCACACACACGTCCACACCCACACCCTAATGGACTATATTTCAAGTTTTTTTCCTATAATCCTATATTTTTCGAAAAAATGAAGATTCTTTTGTGAAGAGTTAAATATTCTACAAAAAGTGCCTTGCATGTTGTTTAAAAATGTCTATAATATAACACACAGATGGTTGAGACAACTATATAGTGCTTATTTCTCATTAGTCTATCAAGATGATAATGATAAAGCTGGTTTGTCTTTCCAATATTTCTAAAGATTTGTCCTGATATAGCTGATTCTCTCTTAGAAAATATAAGTTAAAAGCTGCAATCGAAATGTGTCCATATTATTTTTATCCAATTCTAGATTTGATGTTTTTATTTAGAAAATAGAAATATTTCTTCGTTTTGAACTTGATTTAATTGATTTTATAGTAAAACCTCTCTATAGTGGATGCCTATCGGACTTTTCAAAAGTGTCCATTATAGAGAGGTGTTCACTATACAGAGGTTTGGTGTTTTCAAAACAGACAGTTTTCTTGAAGGAATCGGTATGATTTCTAGGTATCTTAAGATTATTAATGAATAGCATAAATACCTTGAAACATTACTTTTTTTTTCTTCAAGTATTTTCTTTATGAAAAAGCAGAAAATCTGTTAAAGTAATTCTTGAGAAAGCTCTGTTTTGCCACTTATCAATCCAGACGAAGGTTAGTTGATGGTGATTCTATATCGGAGACGAAATTATAGAATTCATGCTATTGAATAAATGTAAGAAAATGAACTGCTCACATCATTATTGATCACATTCATCGAGAAGTCTTTGCAAACTTCGAGGTGATATCTGCTATAGAAGTTAGTAACAAGTCACCCAGAAATTTAAAAATTTACTAAATTGCCGTAGTTCAAATGAAGGTTACAAAAACTGTAACAAAATATAACACTAACGCAATCACTCAGCCTCTTTCATTGCGGTTCCGTGACTACATATTTCCTGTCATGATGTGTCATTTCTGACGAATCTTTTTCGGTCCATCGATAATATAAAGGTGTCCACTATGTAAAGGTTTAATTCCAACAAAAATCGCTCGATCGGACCGTGAAGTGTCCATCATAAGGAGGTATTCACTATGAGGGATTTTACTGTATTTTGATTATATACTTTCAAGTGTGTAAGATACTATAATAGTATTCAAAAAAAGAGATAGTTTACATTGTATACACCAAAAAATACCTTTTTTTGTGGTCTTTATTCAATTTGATTTTGTTTATATTTATATGGACACGTACGTATAGAACAGTTGAAAATAAATTGAACATAAATTAACCGTTTTCTGTTTGTTTGGAAAAGGTTTCTTATGACATTATATCCCATAGCTCGAAGATATTTTTTAATTCATTCATTAGATATATATAGAAAAAGACGATCTGTTATCCGTGATGTTTAAACAAGATTTCCCAGGTCTCCAAAGACTTTTCATAGTGAAAATCAGTATCCTATATAATTCCTATATAGCTGAAGTGATGTATGATCAAGATGTCTCTATTGACTAACACAATACAATCTTACCAAATCTCTATAGTTTTTTGAAAAAGAAACAAACCCACATTTATTGTAAAATTACCTTGTAATTCCTTTTAGAGCATTCTTATCATTTGACATACAGTATGCAATGTTTTAAGAAAAGGTAAAAATAGTGTATGATCTGTCGATGCGCCGAAAATGTGCACGCACATTGACTAAATTATTTGCATAAGGAATGAAAAATAGTTTAGTCTACTTTCATTTATGATACTGCTTCTGAAGACGTTTCATTTTATCATATTCTATAGAAAGTAAATACGACGAAGGAATAAAACATGTGCATCGAAGTGAATGTTTGCAACACAGATAATATTTTACCAGTATTAAAATTTTTGGTAATTTTTTCTTTTCTTTTAAAATATTTCAGTAATATAAGTTTTTTTTTTTAATATTGTATTTAGAGAGCTCAATTACCTGAATCGATTCTTCCTTGGCAACTACTCACTTATGTCTACTCGAAGGTAGTCACTCTAGAGGACATTTATCCACAGGTCTTTGTTAATCATCCAACTGAAATCAAATGTGTTATAATACTGTATTCTACACCTGGTCTCATTCACAATTGGGATCTTATTCACAATTATACTCGCAATGTTGCGATTGTTTGTGATAAAGAATATACAAAGAATATTCTTATCGAAATGTTAACAAAATGTATTCCATGGAATCAGAAACTTATGTTTTGTGCTACTGCACACCATTATGTAACATCAGTAATCGAACAATTCATAGAAGGGAAGAAAATTGGTAATTACGAAATCTGGACATATATTCAATTTGAATTGGATAAAAATGATTTTATGGAAAAATTGAAAACACTACCAACAACAGTCCCGTAAGGTAGCAATACATTTAGAAAACAAATATATAAAATCATTCTGAATTTGCAATTATAGGAGTTGAAATTCGACCATTGAAACCAGAAGATGCATATTTCATTATTGAAGCTGACGATTACAAATCATCTGATCTGTATTCCGTAGCTCAAATTCAATTTTGTATTAAAAAATTATGCAGCGTGGGTAAGTTTTGGTCTATTTATGTCAACGTAGTTTTATATTGATCAAGATTTCATGTTGGAGAACACCAGCAAGGAAAAAAGTGCAGGTTTAGAACTCCAACACCTTAGTACCTTTTCAGTATAATTTGGTTTATGGTATCTGTACTTACATCTTTGAGAACGCCTTTGAAATATTCTGTGAAACTATCTATATGATTTTTTTTTGAAAGTGTTCCCAAAATGGATGCTTCTTCATTTTGAAACTTTCTTCAACAATATAAAACGAACTTAATTCTAAATTTTAAAAAACAGGTGCATATCGTGATGGCAACCTACTTGGTTGGCGACTTTTGCAATACGATGGTTCTTTCGACATGGTATATACACTTCCTGAAGCTCGTCGACTTGAACTCGCGTCTCTGTTGAGTGTTCGATTGACGACAGAAATGTTTAAAATGCAAGAACGTGTATTTGGACATACAGCTTTGAACAATCGAAAATCAATCGGGTTGGCGGCTAAAATGGGATTTCATGAAACAGGTATATGTGACTGGATTGTATTCGAACCGAATGATATCTTCGTCAAAAGAGATCCAAAGCATCTACACACACTCAAATCTTCAATCTAACTTTGCTTTTTAAAAGACTGTTTTAATCGAAATACCTTTTTATTATCATAAAATTCATAGAAAAATATACTTAGGTCATTCCAAAAGGGTGGGGTGTGGGTGTGGGTATGGGGCGTAGGGGTGGATATGGGTGATAGTGGAAAGAAGAAGGACAAACAGACCTACACTGACACTGACACCCACACCCATACACCCTCACGGTAAGGAACAAACATGCACACACTCTTAGGCCATCGTCTCGCTTGACTATCTCTGGTCACACGTTTTGATGTTGCTTATGGCAAATTATCGTTCTTGGTTCACTATCATTTCAAAAGATAACGATCACTCACATTCATATTACACCTGTACCTCTACTGTGTAATATATACCATCGTTATTTTTGCCAAATGTGTATAATATCTAGAAGTCAAAGTTTCACTTTTATTATACCACCTATGCGGATTGTATCTGCTTCATTTTGAAAAAAAACAAATATTTTCCCCAATGGCTGCATATTTCAAACACATATAAAAGATAAAGGTGTAACTATATATCAATGTCATTTGCGTAATAGATGTTTAATATCTAGAAGCAAAATTTCTATGCTTATTATATGTTTCGCAGATGGTATCTACTTTATTTTGCAAAAAACATAAATATTTTACTCTATGACTGAATACGTCAAATATATATAAAAGACAAATTATTGAAAATAATTGCGTGCATACACTCAAATATTTTGAATCAGCTATACAGAAGAGGCATGTCATTTATTTGGATCGTCCGATTTCTGTTCGTTTTTGTCCTGATTGTTATAATTGACGGTGCTGAAACTCGTGTTGGAGCTCTAGTAAATGTTGATGCTCGCAGTACAGTGGGTGTCAAATACAGTGATCTTCCTCTCGATTCATGGGATCTAGCCAGAGCACTTTTGAATACGAAAGATGACAACTTTTGGCGTTCCTTAGCTGTTCAACAGTTCAGACTTACTATGAATCGACTTGTATTTCGTCCAACATACTTTCCAGACACATACCCACCAAAATATCGAGGGACGCTCTCTCTCACTCTGGATCAGTTCTGGGAAATCAAATTTTTGGGTCCACCAAAATCGGTCCTTATTGATTCCCATTATCTCATCGTACGAGATTTCACCTTTCACGTTACATTGGTCACTGACTCAGTGTCCGTTGTAAAAAGTGATGATCGGCTGAGTAATATTGGTGGATCATTTCTGCAAGATTATACACTGCCTGTAGATCCGATGTTATTACTACAACGAACAGGCACAGCCTGCATGAGCGAGAATGGTTGGCCGCCAAATAGTATAGATCCAGAAATAACTGAATATTATTATGATGATACATGTAAAGTAGAGAAACCACAGGCGCCGGAAGTTGTTGGCTGTCAACAGTGTCACTGCCAACATCCATTACCAATAATATCTTGTGTGGAAGCGCTGCAAGCATTTGTGGGCCGAGTGAATGTGAGTTTGAATTTTACGCGAATCAAGTATGACAAAACAACGGCCAGCAAATGGCGATATCCTAGCGAGCCATCCATAAACTCATTCGGTCAAGTAGCACCAGTTAACATCTTTGAATATTTACCTGACTTGGAACGTTATCGAATAATCTACCTCTACATTGAGCCAAACGGATGCGAAATTGCCGAGCGATGCGTTGGTGGAAGTGGATGGCGTCGACTCCTTGTCTTCTCAACAACGGCACCCAATTTTGGAACACAAGAGTTGCGTCTCGGTTCTGTATCCTATTTTGCGAATGGTTTACAGTCCGAATTAATTACCAAACATCATGTCTTCGAATATTCTCCATGTCACAAACATTATCATTTCTCACATTATGGATCATTCGCCCTTGGGAATCCAACCGATCAATCAAATTTGACCAACACTAAGAGAGGATTTTGTTTACAAGCTGTTTATCGTCATGCCAATGCAGAATGGAGTCCATTACATCAAGAATATTATACGTGTTCACTGCAAGGGATACCACCCGGCTGGCAGGACACCTATCAGGGTGGACTTCGGTAGGCAATGTTTCTTCGTTCAAAAGCGAGATAGATTTGTAAATTAATTAATAGATTTTGATGGAGTTAAGAAATTGATCTGCTTCTTGTTCGTTTAAACTATAAATTTTTTTCTCATGAGTCCTTTCATAGTTTATTCAAGTACAACGGTTTTTAAAAATCTCTTGTTTAGATGCCAGTGGATTGATATCACCTCTATCAATACGTCCGCGCAGTCTTATACAACATCGTTGTATTCATCACTCAATCCAGATGGATTTCTTTGTGAAGGTACTCCACAACCTGACACTTGGATACGTACGGAATTTAACACGACATGTTGTTCAGGAAATGGATGTTGTGGTGAATCGAATTTAACACAATGTTGTGGTGGTCTACCGGTAGAACGAGTAGGATGTGAGACGTGGAACCAAGCCGAAGAGGATAACCAATCGGAAATGATAGTAACACTGCCTTTGTCTGGTGAGGGACAAGTGACGGAAAAGTGTCAGAATTCGAGTGGATCATGGGGTGAAAAGAGAGATTGTGGACTCAAGCTACATCCGAAGGGAAAATATTTAAAGTGTGAAAATCCCGGGCAACAAGTAGTTCTGAAGCAGGTTGCCACTACTGACTTCTATCAAGTAAGAAAACTGGATTTTGAAATATCATGCATTCTTTGTATTGTTTCAGGTTGTGCGTATATGTGAGGCATCAGTTGCTCTTCGTTCAGGTCTTGCCTGTATATGGAACGCTTCTCTCACTACTGTTATTATTAGCCATAGAGACAAACCACGTGACATCCACTTCATTTGTCCACCACCACGAGATTCTGTCGAAATTGGTGGTCAGTTTTCTGTATACTATGGACCGTTGTTTGCTGATTTGGCTTTTGGCGACTTGTCGTGGTCAAGCATTGATTAATGAACATTACATATAATTTTCATAAACGTTTCCTTTTTTGTTGGTTCCCTACAAACAAAATCAGTTACTTCTTGTGTAGAATCATAAGCTCAAGGTCATAGTTAGAACCAATTTATGAACTTTACTCCAATATTTATTCGATCATTGTTATGTGACAACGTTCGTGACTGTGAATAATCATAGCATGTCTAAACTTTTTCAGATGTCAGTTATCTATGAGCGTCAATGATATAATAAACCTGTAGTGCAACATTAAACTAATATTGCAATGCCAAACTATATTGTCTAATTGAGTATTTTTAGACACCATTGATTATCTGGAGTTTACTGTAAATAAAACATAGATGTAGATAGAAAACGAATAGAAAATTATAATGATAGAGGTATGACCAATCCCCATATCATTTTATAGTGTATAAAAAGCAAGAGAATATATATCACATGACAACTTTCGTAATTTATGCATTAATATGTCAGACAATAATTTATTTAATCAAGTATTCGAATTAAATAATTGAAAACAATAAAATTCAGATAAATATAGTGAAATCAATGACAAATTTTTCACATTATTATCAACAATATTAATTTACACACATGTTAACAAATCTAAATAAAACGTTTCTACACATAACAAGTAAAGATGAACTTTTGGTTTCATGGTAACCACCAGAAAATGAATTAAGGCGGAAGGCAAATAAATGCATTGATTTATATTTGAATTCGAAGAAACAAAAAAATGAATGAAAGGATCCTGCCAGTTTTTATCAACTTACCCAATTCAATTTCAGAAATTTTTCCTATATGGAATGTCGAGAGGTATTATCAAATGTTTAGGTTCAAAAAATTACCCTATCATATGGAAATGGTCCATTATTAGTCATTACCAGAATATGATAACAATTTTTTCTCAGAAATTGCAGCTAGTCATGATCTATTGTTAGCCATAAAAATCATGTTAAAAATTGAAGGGGCTGTAGAGAAACACAGTCAACATTGTAAGAACCTCGCAAATTTTTTATGTTTTAGAGACTGTTTTCTAAGGTTTTTGGACTTTTTTTTATGAATGATATTATCAAACTTTCTGAAAATTTTATATAACGTAGAAATCAACAGAAAAGAACTAAGATTGTGTTATGTTGATGCGTTTTCGATACTTTTCTTTTCTTTAGAATATGGAAGATAAGAAGCCTTAAAAATACTCAACTATTTTCTTATGATAGAAACTTCACCTTATACTTGTTAAAAACACATTTTCACAACTGATACATAATGAAAACACATATAGTTTTGTTCTCTTTATTTAAACTAGTTGTTTTCTTCAATAAGAATGATCAAATAAAGCATATAATGTTAAATCAATAGGTGAGGATGCCACGAAATCTTGATCCACATTTAAAGAGTATCTCCATAACTGAAGGAGCCATGAAGTATCAATTCACACTCGAAGAGCATTTCAACAGCTGCAGGTGAAGGCAAACTATATCGATCTACACTCAAATGAGGGGGGGTCGATAAGTGTATTTGTCGCTCTTTTTTAATTTCTTTAAATATAACAATAATTGTTATAAAAGAAAATCTTTTGAAACTATTAAGCTTCTTAATCAGAATTGGAGTTTCATAAAGAAAAAACTTGTTCGTCTTTAATGTCTTGCTAATATTTCATTGATTACTATTGTTTTCCAATAGAGTGTGGGTGTTCCTTTTCTTTTCAACCACACCCACAGCCATACCCTAATGTACTGCACTTATTGGTAAAACATTTACTTAATTAGAGAACTCCAGAAGCCATCACTTTATTCAAACTTGAACAATTATTGCAAATTTTAATGTATGAATCATGAGCATAATATCATTGACTAATCACAGATTTGTAGAAAATAGATTGAGTATATCAAAATTATACTTTATTGTATATACAATCTGATATACATGAATCAAACCTAACGAATATAAAATATTGATTTTCATTTGAATCAATAAAAGAAGTTTTGAAGTGATTAGATTAGTATTAGTGAATTCTATCCTTCGATGTTAGAAGTACATCTCTGATACGCTCATGATTACTCTTTTATATCAAAGCTTATTGTTTCGCTCGTAGTTTTATATTTTAGAAACTCATCCTTATTATTCTTTCAAATTAAGCAATGATAATTAAAAAGGAAATGAAAAATTTTAGTAAATAGCGTCTGTAAACTATTACAGAAATGAAAAAATCGTTATTCAACCAAGACGTATTGTTCCACATGCTATACGGGGACCAGCATTTCTATAAATTCAATGAAAATATCAATAAAGAAAGGTGACAACTTAGTGTATGAATATTTACCCAGTTGTGTTACTTTCGCCCTTGCCAGTGTGGCCTCCATCATCAGTCAAATTGTGAATCATGAGAGGTAAACCAATCACAGTTCTTGTCTTATTAAATCCTAGTGAAATGACATCATCACGCATTGCAACATAGGCTCCACCATCAGCATTTACTTCAATATTGCCTAGATCGCCAACGTGTCGAACAGTATCTCTGGGCATTCCATGCGATACATCTGCCATAATAGACAATGTGTGAGAATCATCGCTCTACTATAATGAACTGAACTTACTGTATGGATTGAAATGAACACCACCAGCAGTACAATTATGATTGTCTCCAATAGGTTCTGAATGGATATGGAATCCCTAATAGAAATTTATCTTATAAAGGGTGTCACATCAAAATTGTTGAAGATCGAATTTTCGTATTCGGAGACTAACTATTTCTATTAAACTGAAATGAATCAAGAATTATAAAGAAAATATCAAAATGCATAATGCATCCAGTGAACACAGGATTTTGAAGAGTTATCAATATGTTTCTGATAGATTGAGATCCTTTTCTACGTTCCTTATAAAGCAATTTTTTTCAGAATTAAACCCTAAAATGCTATACTTTAACGTCAGATATTGAACTACGTAGTATTTTATTCTTCAAAGTATATACTTACTAATATTGCTAAAGGTCTTAGACGATTCACAAAACCAGATATGATAACTCCCCAAGCTTCTTTCTCCTCATTGAAGTTGATTGTTCCAATAAAATCATTTGTTCCTGCGAGATACATTTCAGCATGAGCATGTATTCCATCACCTTCTCTTACAACTGTGACAATGAGCATCAGAAATGTAAGAATAAGTTTCATCTTTATTTATTCACAAGTGCACGAAAATGTTCTGTAATAGTATATGAAACAGAAATAGAAAAGGAAAACAATGATTGTGTAAAAAATCTTATCTCATATCTTTCTATAGAACATTAAAAGCCATCAGTTTACCCTTACTACAGTGCTTTTTGTTTTACATCACAATTACATCGACAAATATTACTAGTAACAAAATCTTTTTAATGTCGTAGAGAACTTCAAGGACACTAACGGCAAAAACTACAAGTCTTTGTAATAAACTAGCATTTTTACCTGACTGTACGACTGTTGAAAACAATAACAATGCTACATAATTATTGCAGATTAGGCATGCACTGAATCCGAACCGTTCAAGTTCGAGTTCGGGTATTTTTTGAGCATCGTTAATTCTTTTTTTGAATATCTCTGGTATTTCAATATGTGTATGATTTATTTCATTGTACGTAGATCTATGATGGCCTACTGTGGAATTTCTTCTTTTGGCTTACTTCTAGTTCCTTTTGATCATTGACTGTAATTTTAACAAAAAATTATTATGATTTACTTAGTCAAAGAAGAAAATAAACTGATTTGCCAATTTTTCTTCAGATATTTAACATCAAAATCATTTTCAGACAAAAATATGCCTAAACTGGATGTTCCCAATATGCTCGAAATTGTTCTTCATGTCTCTGTGATTAGATGCAATGTATTTCTCTTGAATTATGAATCTTTGGTCATGATGTTAAAGAGCTTCAAGAATAACGAAAAAAAAAACAATTCTTCAGAGACGATGTAAGCTGTTATTTGTAGTTAGTTTGCTGTGGAAAACGGCTAATATTAGGTAATCAGTCTTTCGTACATAGGCAACAACAGTTGACAGTAATTGAAAACGTTGAGTCATGCAAAAGATTTGTTTTTCACCTCCTTTTCCATACCAAACTATCCTACGTAATTACATGACGATATATGTGATGAATAAACCATGTACATATAGGTAGAACAGAATTTTTATTATTATTTTACATTTTCGAAAACGATTTTCGTTTATCTTATAATTGTTTCGTTGAACTGAATCATTTCAAAGCTGTGATTTACATGCATGGGTAAACAAAAGACACGTATTAATATTGTAATCATTGGTCATATTGATTCCGGCAAGTCAACTATGTATGGATACTAGCAAGAGCTCGTACATAGTGCACGGCTGTTTTCTCCTTCAGCGTACGACCTCAGATGTTTAACTGTATATCCGGTAACAGACATTCAGATACTCAAGATTATGTATATAGACAGCTTTCGGTCCTATAGCTGAGGGCTGCGCAAATACAAGTACACTTTGTACTCTGAATTACATACGACCTAAAGTCTAGAATTTGAAGAATTTGAAGAATTGGTATCATGTATTCTCATGTACTGGTCAAAAAGTCTAGAAGGGTGTGGGTGTGGATGTAGGTGTGGATATGTGATTGACCACATCTACACCTACATCCACACCCACCCACACCCACACTCACACTCTGATGGTACATCTACTGAGAAAATAATGTGATCTAACGATTGCAAAGGGCACCAGTTATTACAAAAATACACGGACTCTCGTTCATTATAGATCATCCTATATATTACAATACATTAAACTGTTGCACACCTATCTGCACTTTTCTGTTCTCATTATTTCCTCTTTTTTTTTGAAGGACGGTTCTGTCATTCAAAAATATCTGTGCCTTTGGGTGTGGGCTGTGGGTGGGTGGTGGGTGGGTGTGGGCTGTGGGTGGGTGGTGGATGTGTGTGGGTGGGTGAGGGTGTAGGTGTGAGTGTGGGTGTGAGTGTGGATGTGGGTGGGTGTGTGGTGTGGGTGTGAATGCGGGTGTGAATGTGGGTGTGGGTGTGGATCATATCTTCATTTATACACCCACACGCACACCCCATCTAAAATCATCTGTAGGTCTAGAACGGTGATAATTAATTTTTGAAAATTGAATAGCTGATTTAATTGATTTTGATATTTCCTGAGTAACAAATTCCTTTGATAAATCCGTTGGTACATAACGTAAAACTACTGCACAGGAATCAGGTAAACCTCAAGGTCTTTCTATTTCAATATCAATTTTATTCATATCTCTAGGCCACTTACAATTCCAAAGCAACAAAAAGTCTTTTTTTGTTGTAACACCAACTTTATAACGATTTTTACCCGCCGGGACCAAAAGAGAAAAATCACCAAGTGATTGAGCTGATTGTTGTTGTATCAAATGATGAATCCATGAAGCCACTTTCATAGCAGATGGTAATTTTTGTTGTTGAACTGGATCATCATCATGACTAAATTTTAAATAAAAACATGGTAAATTATTAGATATTGCATATTTTAATTGAGCTGAAGAAAAACTAAATTGATAACCAGTTGCTAATGGCGGTGATGTTGTTGTTTGTTATTGTTTTATTATTAGAATTAAAATTTGTTGGTGTCGGTTCATGAGGAAGAGATTTTTTTGTTCGACTTTGTACTTGAAATTCAGAACAAGAGTTACTTTCATCTAATGGTCGACGTGGTGTTGATGATGTTTGATTACATGAAAATAATGGTGGTGGAACAATTGTAATATCAGTATGTGTTTTTGTCCTTTGATTATTGATCAGCTGATATTGATGTTGAATGGACGATGAAGCGATTAGCTTGTCAGTCAATCGTGACAGATGTCGTGCTGATTGTTGAAGTGGACCAGGAGATGATGATGGAATAGATGAAGGGTGTGGGTGTGGGTGTGGGTGTGGGTGTGGGTGTGGGTGTGGGGTGTGGGTGTGGGTGTGAGGTGTGTGTGTAGGTCTAGATGAAAGAAAGATAAACACACACCCACACCCACACCCACACCCACACCCACACCCACACCC